TAATTTTGTATAAACGTATAAAGGTTCTCGAAACATATTGATATGCTTTCGATAATGTTTGATATATTTCTACTATGCACTCTTTCTCTCTCTTTCTCTCTCTCTCTCTCTCTCTCTCCCTCTCTCTCTCTCTCTGTCTCTCTCTCTCTCATAAACACAACATATTGAACTATAACGATAACATTTTGGTCTGATTTTAACTTAACATTTATGGCTGTGATTGGTAAACTTTGTGGAATGGTGGAATGGCGGAAAAACGCGATTCCGCAAGAATTTTGCCAATAAAAAAAACTTACGGTGATGAAAATACTTACAAAAAATACAAATAAAATTTGATTAAGTGAAAAAGTGTGTTTCAAGTAGCTTATTTGTGAAATCAATATTTTATATCATTCAATTATATAGTTAATTATATTTTATTATTTAAAAATATATTTACACTATATATATAATGATCAGATTATATCTGTAGAATAAATTTTGTAATATATTTATATATTTTATAGTAAATAAAATAAAATAAAAATAAATAATTACAATAAAAGTTTTAATTTATTCTAATTATATTAAAATTATGTTTTTATAATAATTAATATTTTAATTTTTATTATATCAAATTATATATAAAATATACTATTATGAAAATTTAATTTTTTATATTTTTTATAATTCCATCATTCCGCCATTCTGCATAATTTATCCAAGCACATCAAAAGTAAATTTTCCATTATTCTGCATTCTGCCATTTAGCAGCTTAATTTTTTCCGCAATTTCACGATTTAATTATTTTTCTCATACTTTCTCTTATTTTCTTCTTCTCGTCATTCTCAATATCTACTCTTTCACCTAAATATCGTATAATTTTTATAATTTTGTACATTGTTTACTCATATAATTTTATCAAATTTTACTCAAATATTGTATTGTACATGTTAGAGTTTTTTGGATTACAGATTTTACCTTTTATAATATATATTCTTGTTATTCGAGCTTTTAAAAACTCACGTGGGTATTCAAAATACATGTTTTGTCCTAATACTTTTGATGGTTAGAATTGTTTTTCACAATTATTGTCATTGTTAGAGAAATTTCACTCACTTAAATCTGATATTTAACCATAAAAAAAAATCAGAATGCATATTTTTGTCCCCTTATAACACGCTTGTAATCAATTTGTTTTTCTAATTTAATATCTTTTTTAATTTTTAAATATATATTTAATAACAATATATATTTTCTATGTACTAAATTTTATTGATCTTTAGAAAAATTATATTATAGATGATAGTATATATATATTTTTTTTTGATAATATTTTTTTGTTTTGGTCTAAATTTATACATGGTTTATCGTTTATACAAACTTTATAATCATAAGATTTAATTATCTTTTAAATGATTAAACATCATAAATTCTTCAAATTAGTGTGATAATAGATCTTGTTATTTTAGATTAGAAAGTTTATTAATAAATTAATATTGTTATTATATATATTGTAATATTTTTATATTTTAAAATGGTTTTGGATCTGAAAAGTTATTTTTGAATTTAGCAAGATTGTATACAAATATAATTTTTTTAAAAAATATTTCTTATTTTTTATCTGTAATAAATTAAATAAAAGCATACAATTTCACTAATAATATGAAGAGAAAATTACAAATTAGTAATATTATTATTAATATTTTGATGTATTTATTTTAAAGTAAATATTTTAATAAGCTATAGAAATAGATGTGATAAATCATAAAACTAAAATTATAAAATTAAATTTTCTTTAAATCAATATATAAGCTATTTATTATAGAAAGTGACTTTTCAAATTCTACTTATTAAATGAATAACAGAGTTTGTAAAAGAGCTGATGTGGGAAAAAAATTATGAGCTGACGATGTGGCAGCTTAAGAAGAGACTTTATTATCCTTTATATATATTCTTTTATCTTATAAGTATATAGTAAATAATTTAAATGAAAAAGAAGCTTAAGAAAAAAAAAAGAACATACGTGATTTGGCTCTGGTTAGTCTGCGAGGCTGTGGTCAATGATTACTGAGATTAGGCAAACATAACTTGTAAGCCTTGTGCGACAAACAACGGGCCTGATATATATCGTTGGCGGTCCTCCTTTGGCTCTTTCACGACAAACTTCTCTTCCAGAGGCACTTGGCAGCAATTACAAGAGGCAAAACTAATAGTCCCCTGGGCAGAAGTTGTGTGGTTGCGGGAAGGTATACCTAGAGCTGGCTTCATATTCTGGTTAGTTATCCTTCAGCGACTTCCTACCAGAAATAAGATCCGGAGATGGGGCATGAATGTCTCACACTTATGCCCTATCTGCTCCGCTGAAGCTGAATCTCACGGCCACCTGCGCTTTCTCAAAACAGATCTGGGAGACTTTCTCATCCCGACTCTGTCCTGAAATTACTAATTCTCAGCTTACTGAAATTGTGAATCACCTCTTCAACCAACCTCAACATTTTGAGTCATGGTGGATTATTATCAAGCTTCTCCTTCAAGCCATTGTCTACGCTCTGTGGCACGAGCGGAATGACAGAATCTTCAAAGCTTCGTCTTCGCCGGTCAGCGCCCTAAAATCGCAGGTGGATAGGCTTATCCGAGACCGGTTACTTTCCCTTCCGCAGCGGGATGGCACTCCTTCTTTCCTAGAATTGTATTTCAGTTGTATCTCTTTTCCGATTTAAATTGGTCTTGCTTGACTTCCGTTCCTTTAAAGTAAATATTCTAGGTAAGTTTTTTTTTCTTCTTTTCTTTGTAAGCGAACATTTTTTTTTAATAGTTCTTTGGTATAAATCTTAACATTAAAACCAAAAAAAAAACTTAGTAAATGTCACAATTAACTTAGTAAACTCTTCTATCTCACTAAGTATATAACTCGCATTACACGCGAGTTTGTATTAATATTTTGGTTTAATTTTTTTAGCTACTATCTTTAAAATTATTAAAAATATAATATATTTATAGAAATTGTCATTTATATAAGAGAATTTAATATATAATGTGTAATTTATCTTATTTTTATTTATAATTTAAAAAAACTATTAAGTAAAATAATAACAATGACAACTATCGAATTATCTAATTTTGACATACATATACATTTGATTTAGAGAAATATAATCTTGCTAAGATTTTGGTATTATTTTCTGTTTTCCATAGAATTTCTATAATTCTTTTTTCTTGAAGGTTTATGTGTTCAAATATTTAGCTTTTTATTGAAAGTTTTATTGATGTTATATACCACTGCATATATAATTCATGATTCATATTGATTCGCATTTAATTTTGTTAGAAAGCTGTAATGATCATGCAAAACCATTTTATCCTTCTCCATCATGTCTTCCAAAAATTTTATGTTATATTTGTATTCAATTTTCATTATTTTAATTGTTAAATCGAGTTGTTGTAGATTTTATTAAATTGATAATGGTTACTTTTAAAAAAACATGTATTGTTAATTGTTAAATTTTTTTATTTAGCTTTTAAATTTTTAAACCATATTAACATTTTCTGATTTAATAAATATGTTGATTTGGATCAATCAGACTGAATTTACTTTTTTTGTTAGAGATAAATTGTTAAATTAATTTTTAATATTTTAATTATACTTAATAATTTTTGGTTTGATTTAAAAGCTGATGTGGACTAATTAAATCAAGTTTTTTTGTCATAATCATACTTAACATTTTTTTATTTAATGAATATGCTGATGTCAATCAAATCAGATTGAGTTTTTTTAATCCAATGTAGATGCCCTCAATGCACTATGCTATCAATTTTTTTATATTATATGATGTGATCAGTATACCTTTCACCACCCGTAATACTTGACGAAGAAACACTCAACTTTCGAAAAATGTTACGAATGGGTTTCTTTGGACACACGCTTGACAAGAGCTTTGTGTGCAATAAGTATAAAGTATTAACACAAGCCCAATACAAGTTCACTGTGATATATGAGCTCATGTGTACAAGAGTTCTGCTATATTTCATAGCAATGGATTAGTAATGTCTCACTAAGAGATGATTAGTCTAATCGAAATAATTTTCATTTTGCTGACAATCTAGATTTTTCTTTCTTTTTTATATATTTACTTGCTTATTAATGAAGCTCTTTAGAGCTATCTCTTTCCAGTGCTAAAGAAAAAAGAAAATGAATTTCATAAAACTTGATTCGTTTCAAACTAAAATGTATTAGCTCACTGTCCCTCTAAGACTCTAATGGCGCCTGCCTTTCCCTCATTTTTATCCCAGTTTTTATAAATCTTATAAGACATTCAGGTGGAAACAAAGTAAACTTTTTCTGTGATATTGGCCTTTGATCTTATATATATGTACATCTTCACAAAACAAAGTGACACAACTCAACATGTCAATGCACATGGTTGTGTACTTGTGTGTGTTCCTCTACTACTAAAATCTTTATGACATTATTCATAAGAAAATCATAGTCTTTTATCACTGATTCATTTGGTTCTTTTCTTTGAACATTGGGTTCGCTATATAGTGTATTCGGAAACAATCTCTGACCTCTGATGTTTGGCTTACACTAAACAATTTTTATAGAAAACATCCAAAAAGATTTGATTCGTTTTGTCCTTTGAATAAATGTTACCGAGAAGCTCCCACCATTTTTTTTTATCATTCATATCTTTTTTTTTATCATTCATCGTCCACAAAATCACAAAGATGCAACCTTTGGATTCGGATTTTTTGTCTTTCCTGTATTCAGAATCTTTAGCCTACTTTTGAATTTTTAAAAAGAAACATTACACAATGGGCAACCAAAAAGAGGAGCTTCATGTGTTTCTCTGTCTGTGAATGTGTGAAGCACTTAGAAAAAAGAGAGTAAAAGAGATAAGCGTGGTGTCTGGATTTTCGAGCCTTGAGTTGGTGGGTGTGTTATGTTGTGAATCTCTAAAAGATTTCTCTACGTTACATATAAGTAATTTTTTTATATATCTGTTTCCAAGGTGAGGGACTCCATAAACAAATGTTTCTTTTTATAGTCACCCCTTTTTAAGAAACTCCAAAACCGCTTTCTTGAGAACAAAGATTCAGCATCAATCTCTTTCATTAGATTCTTAGCTTTGTTTCTCTTTTTGGAGCTGAAGATCTTGAAAGTCTTGTGAGCAAAGAAAAGAAAATGAAATTTATGAAACTTGGATCCAAACCTGATTCATCTCAGTCTAAAGGAGACAGTATTAGGTCTGTAGAAACAAACTTTTATCTCTCTGATTGTTGTTCCTTTGTTACATCTGTAACTGACATTGTTTTTTATGCTCTTAGGTATGTAGCAACTGAGTTAGAAACAGAGATTATCGTCATCATCGGCAATCTCAAATTCTATCTGCATAAGGTATGTATGAACAACTCTAGCTTCTAAATAGTAAAAGACAAGCAAAAGTAGAGACATAAAAATAACATTTTTTTTTCTTTCTGTTTTCAGTTTCCATTGCTATCCAAAAGTGGACACTTGCAGAAACTCATAGCAACATCAAAAAATGAAGAGAAGAAGAACAAAATCGATGAGATTGACATAACAGAGATTCCTGGTGGCTCCGTTGCTTTTGAGATTTGCGTCAAGTTCTGTTACGGAATCACTGTGACCTTAAACGCTTACAACGTGGTTGCAGCTCGTTGTGCAGCTGAATTCTTGGAGATGAATGAAAACTTTGAGAAAAGTAATCTTGTTTACAAGAGTGATGTTTTCTTGAACTCAACTATTTTCCGTAGCTGGAAAGATTCTATAATTGTTCTTCAGACCACAAGAGATCTCTCTCCTAAATACTCAGATGAGGAGTTTAACCTGAAGCTCGCGAAGCGTTGTCTCGAGTCTATTGCTTCTACAGCTTCGATACACACCTCGAAAGTCGAATGGTCTTACACTTACAACAGGAAGAAGAAGCTCGATCCAAAGGTGAAAAAACAAGAAGCTGTTCCCAAAGACTGGTGGGTGGAAGATTTATGCGATCTTCACATCGATTTGTATAAACAAGCCATCGAAGCAATCAAGAAGAGAGGTAAAGTTCCGGCTTTCGTGATCGGAGAAGCATTACACGCTTATGCAGCAAGAAGAATAGCTGGTTTTAGCAAAGGCACAGTGAAAACAAGTGATAGATCTTTGACTGATTCGATCATAGAGCTTGTCCCGGACGAGAAAGGAAGCGTTTCTTCCGGTTTCTTGAGTAAGCTGCTCCGAGCAGCGATCTCTCTCGGGTGTGAAGAAACCGTGAAAGAGAGGTTAAAGAAACGAATCAGCGAGCAGCTTGAAGAGACGACTCTGAGTGAGATCTTATCGTATGATGTAGATATGGTGCAGAGCCTAGTCAAGGAGTTTATGAGCCGTGATCCGAAAACTCGCTCGAAAGTATCTGTCACAAAGCTCATTGATGGATACTTAGCTGAGAAATCAAGAGATGCTAGTTTCCTTCTCCAAAACTTCCTCTCTCTCGCTGAGACACTCTCTAGCTTCCCAAGACAGTCTCATGATGGGTTATATCGTGCCATTGACATGTTTCTGAAGGTAAAAGCAAAATTCAAATCCTCTGTTTTTTACAAGTTCCAAATCCTCTATTTTCTTACAAGATCCAAAATCCTCTGTTTTTTTTACAAGATCCAAAATCCTCTGTTTTCTTACATTGATTTGTTAATTTGTTTCAGGAACATTCTGGGATTAGCAAGAGCGAGAAGAAGAGATTGTGCGGGTTAATGGATTGCAGGAAACTATCAGCGGAAGCGTGTGAACATGCGGTGCAGAACGAGCGTTTGCCCATGAGGGTGATTGTGCAGGTTCTGTTTTTTGAACAGATTAGAGCAAATTGTTCATCAACAGAGAACACCACAACGACCTTAAACACTGAGGATGATGAATGGGATCAATGAGGGACATAGTTTTTGATCTTTAGGGTTTTTTGAATCTGTTCTCATTTGTTTCTTCAGAAGCACGTCAACAGGATTTGTAGAAACAACACAATCTGGTTCTTTTTTCTGAATTGGAAACATTTGGTGGTCCTTGATCTTAGTAAATGGGTCCGTGAATGGGCTTTGTGACTGGTCCAAAACGAATGGGCTTTGTGTCAGGTCCAAAACTAAACATAATTAACCGAACTCGAACCAAGATTTATGTATAACCCGAACTTGAACCTGAACCGAAACCAAATTTAGTTGAAAAACTGAAACCGAACCGAATCAAATTCGAATTCAGTTTATCAAACAGAACTGATTTAACTGAATAAACGAAAGATTTATATATTAGATCAAGAATTAATTTAATGGTTTAAATAAATAGTTTCTTTTCTTTTCGTTTACTAAAACAAGCAAGAAGAAAAGCAAATCAGAACAAGGGATATTTGATATTTCGTCCAAGATTTTCTTATAAAAATATTACATTCGAATATCTTTTAAACGACGTTATTTTATTGAAAAATTCCTAATACATCATCACTCAATTTTTCTAACAGTTAAAAAGACATCTGACATGATAGTTCAAATATTCGTCTTTTTCTGTAAATATAAAACTAATTTCGTCATTTGGGGTTAAAAATTAAAATTCTCTAGGGTCAACAAAAATGGAATTGCCAGGTGGTGATTTAGTCCAATCACCAACAGAGCCGTCACTATAATCATCTCCAAGCCGCTTAATACACCATAAATCCTCGGCGCACGATAGCACTTTCCAGTGTGGAATCCCTCGCCGGAATGGCTCTCCACCGGCGACTTCCACCGCGACAACACCGCATCCTCCTTCCTTCGCTATATTATGCGCGTGGCCACACAATGCCTTCACCATTTTCTCTGCGCGTGGTCCTTCTCCACCGATTCCATACATAAAATGCAGCCCAAACGGTTGAAAAACCGCCGGAATAGACGGAATTTTCAAAAACGGCAACGTTTTATCAACTACGCGCGTCGTTTTGGCCACCACACGCCGTAATCTCGACGCGCCGCGAACCTCTAACCGAAACGATTCTTTGCAATTCCACACGCTTAAAACCGCCCACGAATCGGGTGGATATTCGAGGAATTTAGCCGAACCGGGCCATGACCCAAACCCGGATCCATAACAGCTACCACGTGGAACAGCGACGAATGTTCCTAACGAGAGTTTGTTATTGAGAACCGAATCAATGTCTCGTGGAAAAAACTCGGTTGTGCTAAACCGTAGTCGGTATAATAACTCAGCATCGGACGGTTCAAGCTTGATTACGGTGACCCGGTTGGAAATATCAACTCGGTGTGCGTAAACCGGATTAACCAAAATCGACGGTGTACGGAACTCGGAGTAACCACATTTCCCGGTGAAAAGATTCACGGAAGCTTGATTGTCGTTTTCAGTAGCAATGTAGGAATATTCGGCGCCGTTTTGATTAAACCATTTCTCTATCTCAGTCACGAGCTTAAACCCGATTCCTTGCCTCCTGAGAGTAATTAATAAACGTGACGTGATTAGCGTGAATGACTCGTGATTAAATGATTAATTAGTGTGAATGACGTGGATTTTGAAACGGACCTGTGAGTAGGAGAAACGCGGAGGCCCAAAACGTAAGCGAGTTTAGTGTAAAGTGGTTTAGCAGTAACGACGTCGTTTTGTGGTTTGTGTGTTAACTCGAGTGTTTTGCTACCACATGTAACGGTTTTAATACATCCACGGATCATTCCAACTAACTCCTTCTTCTCATCCGTGCCAATCTCAGCCACCTGTTACAATTTCCAAATTTTACAAAACGGTTATTTTCATTTATTAATTAATTAATTACAAAACAAAAACAAAAACAAAGAAAATTTTCTTTTATGGTTAGTTAGTGTTCATATTTTTGTGCCTAGTCATTATAGATAGAATTTAGGAATCTTCCTGTTCAACGAGATATAGCTTGAAGAACTTCAAGCTATCTACAGAAGAAACTTGAATAACTTCAATTTTGGAAAAATGGTTTTGTTAACCAAAATAAAAATGCCACGACTTTCTCTTGTTCGTTTTAAAGTCTGAACTTTCTTTGTTAGTTAGTTTTTATATTTGCTTCCTTATTATAAAAATCCTGATTAGTGATTACTAGGCATGTTTTATATTGTTGGATGGAAAAAGAAACGAGTTTTTTAACCTGAAACAATTTAAATTTTACTAGGAAAAATGAGAGTAATTACCAGCATCAGATAAGAAGGTGAATGTCGGACACGGCAAATTGGGTCACCTAAGAGATCGGTGAAGAGAGAGAGTTTGCCGGTTGGACCAACTTCGCACCGCCGTTCAACGTCTTCCACGGTGGCTAAGTCCTTGCTCGGGTCGTATTCTCTAATCTCCACAGCCACCGTCATATTCTCTGCTTTTATCTGAACTCCCTAATGACTAAAACCCTTTTGTCAAAAAAAAAAAACTCTCTAATAACTAAAAAACAGAGGAGAGACTAGAGAGAGAAAGAAGAGAGAGGAATGGAGGATTGAGAACAAGTGTGAAGTAGTTAGGGTTTTATATAGAGGCAGGAGTGACTGTTCACTGTTGCAATAAAAAGTCAGCAGATTTTCCGAGGACATAGGATTTATTTTATTATATAAACTATAGTAGTATTATATAACGTGAGGCATACGCAAAGAACAGAGAAGCTATGAGTTTTATTTTTTGTTGGCTTCATAAGCTATAGTAGCTTTCGAATTTTTATTTTTATTTTTTTACACAGAGAGATTTTAAATTTAAGGATTTTTCAAAAGAGAGATTTTAAAAGGTTTTGAAAATGACTTTTGGTATTATTTTGGTTGTTTTTAATATATATAACTAAATAACTAATGTAATGTATTTGGTTTTAGGCCGTTAAGAATTCTACCAAATAGTACTATCATTGGTGAGAGTTAATAGGACCCTCTATTAATTCCCTATTAATTATGCTCATTTTTCTCAATATTCTTTTCTAGAATATATCGACTTTTTTTGTTCCACTTGGAATATATTTGTTTATTTAGTAAATTTAGCAGTAAACAAATGAACGTATCTGAATAAATTTATATTCTGAGATTTACACGCACAAAAAATGAGTTTGAATCGATCAAATTAGTAGTTATTAAATAAATATTCGAATAATGGAGGGTTAAGATTATTCTTAATTCTTCTTCTCATATACTTAAATTTTAGTATTTTAAACAATTGTTTAACAAGTTTACTTAGAAAATTATTATTGATATATAAAAGAGGAAATCAATAAGGAATTAGAATAAATTTAGTAGTATTATAGTATGCTTTTTCGATGTAATGATGTGAGAATATTAATGGGTGATTAAGACGAGCATTGATGTCGTCGAGCTTGTTCATAAAAGAGACGTGGAAAGTGGGGAGTGAGAAGTGGAAATGGCGGCTTATGGCTTCTTTTCTCTCTCTTTTCGTTTTCACTTTTTCATTTGTTTTACTAATAATTATCCGTTTTTTTTACATCTCGTTCATATACGTATAGTACTAGTATATAACCTCTAATCATTTGCTCTTAACCCCACTTATATCATTTGTCGTTCACAACACAGCGTCACAAATAGGCAGCCAGGTGAATAAAATGGATATATGAATACACAAAAAAAAACGAGATACACAAATTGAACCAAAAACATAATTCGAATTAGTAATCCAAAAACACCCCTAAAATCATTAGAAAATTATGATTGTTAATAAACACTACACTATATATTTTTAAAAAAATCATACATCAATCTTTTTCGATATATACATAATTTTTGTTTGGAACAAATGTCGATATGTATACACATATAGAAAATCAATTGCCAATAATCCTTTCGTATGTTCATATTTGAAACCTAGAAGAGAAACACTTCAAGATATGTATCGAGCAGACATTTTTAGTTGGCAATAGAAAACAATTGATGTGTTCGACTTTTTTTTTTTTTGAGCCAATGTGTTCGACTTTTTTTATTAGTTGAAAAATTCCTCCTTTAAAAAGACAAAGCTACTCCAATCACACAATTAATCATTTTAAAAAACCTCCTTGGTAATATTCACCTCCTAAAATCGGATCAGAATGATGGAATAGTAATCGAGAATTATTAGCAAAGCAAAATCGAATAATGAATATATCTTAGCAAAGTGCGTTTGACATGGCCCCCACTTGTTTCCATAACAATCTTAAGCCTTTTGATCAAACTCTTCTAAAGGTTCAGTTAAATTAGCAAGTGGTGTCACTAAAAAACCTAATTATTCTGTCAACATTCAAAATAAGTATGTCGTCCCAATTAGTCAATTATATATATGTTATATAGATGCTTATAGACATAAACAATTTGGATTTGATTATATTTTATCCGTCTATTCATGGGATCAAGCATTTTATTCCGGAAGGATTGTCTAATCATAGATATAGTGTATAGGATGAGGATTCCACCTTTTTTTATAATAAGATACCAAATTACGTATATCCTAATATCCATCACATATTTATTTACTGTGAGCCATGTATGTTAGCGTGATCGTTAAGGTTTTAATACAAACTATTTATCATTTTATTTTGAAAATTTTAAAATATCAACATAATTTTTTGGGGGGTCAAGGTTTATAACAAGCACTTTATCTGGTAAAAAATCTCAGATTTTTGCATATTTGAGGTATTAATATGGGGTTTTCAACATGAGATTCTGGTAAACTAAAAAGAGTTTACAACTAAAACAAAGAACTGAAAATGAGATCATTTATTGATATTCATGAAGCCTTTTGTGATGTATCGTCAATTTCAGAATCTTATAATATAAATATCGTTCATTTTTAATGGATTTCAAAACCAAACTCTCCAAATTTTTTGTTTTAATGAAAAGTTTAAAACTAAAAAAAAAATTATTTCTTCTATAATGAGTACTTTTAGAGGTTTTCTCTGTATAAAATGCCCCATAATATTATTTTGTATATCTTATGACATAATTCAAGAAACAGTAGTTGAAATCCTTGAGGAATATTACTGGTTAAACGATATTTTATATGCATAATACGTGTCAGTGAATTGAGTGAATTTTCCAGAAAATCATATGGAGAATATATTTGGATAAAAGGTGGCTATAAAACCGACTAAAATAACATGCTATTCGTTAAAAATGTGTGAAGCCATATTACTTTTTAAAGCATGTAATAAAAATTCAATCTGTTTATGATTTTGTTATCTATTATTTTCCAAATAATGACCATTATTGACCAACATATAGTAGTTTAATTTTCGTTTATACAATTATACTCTACAATTTATCTGTTTTAAAAAAAAATAGATTTTCATATGTAGAATACAACCATTCCATTTGAATATGATATCATCTATAGTTATTGATGTAAATGACAAACGCGCTTACGTCATAGGATTCACAATAGACGCACACTAAACAAAATATAGACGAAGGGCACTAAGATATATAGTATTTGTTTCCATCTGACCTTATTTTGTTTTTTTCTACCGCCATTAGACTCGTCACTTGTGTATGTGAAGGATTCAGTTTTTCCTTTATGTTCATTTTTTTTTTGAATTGGTAATGTTGAGATTGAGTCTTTCATTTAGACATCGCAAGACAAGTACTACAGTATAATCTCACACTTTTGATTCTCTTTGGATTTTATATTACGAAAATAGAAGAAATAGAAGGAAAAAAAACATAACACATAAGTCATAACATGTTTACGAGTTTATTCAGACATCTTCGGTTAGATATCAAGCTAATATCGGCAAGGTTTTTGGATTGCAATCAATCTAGCTACCACTATAAATCGTTTGAGCTTTTTTTTTTTCTTTTCTTTCTTGCTTTAAGTTTATAGTTTTGACCTAAAGGGGGAAAAAATCGTTTTCTGAAAGTTGGACTTGAGACCCATATCTTAACATTAATCTATCCTTAGCTCACCAAGTCGAGTAATAGATCCCAAAGGAAGTATAACAACGAAAGTCCGGTTATATGTCAGACTGATTTAGTTTCTTTTGGTTTTAATATATATTTTTTTATTTTTAAAAATATGTTACTAATTACTAAATTTTGATTTTGAGTTCCTTTTTTTTAGGTGCAAAAGTTTTGATCTTCAATTCCAATTTCTTAATTCAGTATAGATTGAACAGAGTCGGTTTAACGACGTGATACACTTTCATATGTTCATGTGTATATGTCATTGATCATTCGTGGTTGGTTTGTTAGCTATAATTATAAATAAATTAAAGCAAAAATTTCTTAATTCAGTTTAGATCGAACTGAGTCGGTTTAACGGCATAATACATTTTCACATATTGTGATGTATAATTCGTGGTTGGTATGTCTATTATAAAATCCATGAGATTAAACTATATAATTAGAAATTTGTATATACGATGAGAAGCTATTTAAAACATAACATAAACCATGGACCACATCGTATGACGCAAAATGTCGAGTAATTAGCAGACAGATTAGTGTTTTCCGGTCAAATTTGTAGAATTCAAACAGACATAGTATTCTTATTATATGTACCTATGATTAACTGTAACGAATAAAAAACATACAAATTCCACGACAAATTCCTCGATAACATTATTGAAACGATCTTGATTTATACTAATCTCTTTGTAATAATATTAGTTTGATGATCCGTACTTTGGGCCGGTGCAGTACAAATCTCGCATTCATTTTTTAGTTTTGTAATATGATTAATGTTAAAAAAAACTGATTTAAAAAAAATGTCAACTTTAATTTCAATTGATAATGCCTTTTTATGTGAGACAATAACAATCGAGGACGGGATTAAAATGGTACAAGAAATAAGCGTCCAACATATAACGTTTTTGTTTTTCAATACAAGATTTTTTTATTAACTTCTTTTTTATTCCTTTCCAAGAAAAAAGTTAATACAAGAAAATATTTATTTATTCTTTAGTTTGTCAAAACAAGAATATTTTACAACAAAGACCGCCTGATCTGATATTTCAAGAACGCGACCTATAAAGTTAATTATAAAATAATTTGACTAGGAAGTAGAAAAAACGGTATCAATTATCATATGTCCCACAATCTTGAATTCTTGATTACATTATAAATACTAAGAATTACATACACGAGAGTAATACAGTATATTTATACGCTTGCAATACATGCATCCTTGCGTGTACATACTAAACACGTACGGAAAGAAGCAAATATATATGAATGTGAATTAAAAATAATAATTTGTCGCTTAGGATTACGACAGGGAAATCTCAATGAGATTATCGTATACAATAATTAAACAAACAGCCTCGAGGATCCATTAGTCACGTGATTGTAATAATTATTAACCTATTATATGATTTAACAATGTAATTTGCTACTAAACCCTAATATTTGACTTTTGTTTATTTAGCACTTCATAACGAGGAGGAGGCCAAGACCAGTCAAGCCACGAGCCAAAGTTTTCACCTAATTACCGGCTTATAAGAAACTGAAGTGACGAAAACACCCCTACTATGTCTCTTAGTTGAATAAATGAGGTCCAGCTGTAAATGTTGGAAGGGAACAAAGCGGCGAGGGACAGAGACA